TTTTCAGCAAGTGGAGAGTTTTGTTTTTCTTTGTTAGGAGTTGGCAAACATGTCTTTTCTCTCCCTAGAATTAATTTCTAGGAAATGTGTTCTGTGGCTAATAAATTATCCTTTCTTCCTCCAAATGGAATGTTCCAGAGAAAATGGAAAACAATGTGGGCTTGGTCTCCGTGTTCAGATCATCATACATAGGTTTCTGTAACTGTTCATTTCTTTGTAGCTTTTCATTAAGCAGGGAGATGGAGCACTGTTGACTCTGAGGCAATCTGCATTGGACCTCTGGCTATTCAGTCATACTTAAATGCCCTTCTGAATATAGGTTAGAATTTAATGTCAACTAAATAAGCCATATGGGATCAGGTCTAACATCTTTGTTCTTAGTTGCTTTCATTGTTTATAACTATTCCTCTGGACTGGGCCTGGGAAGACTGTAGTAAAGGAAGCAGTACACATTTGCTCTCATCTCAGGCCAGAAGCTGATGATTTATAGCCTGAGGGGTACAGAAGGGCAGGTTAGTGGGTGCCCACGCATTCACACATGTGGAAAGGTGATAGTAGCCTGGAGGATTGGAATTTATGATCACTTCAGATGTATGCCAATGAATAAAAGGTTCATAATAATATTTAGAACTAGACCAATATGTATGGATTTATGAAACTGTTGAAGTAAAATACAAATAGTCAACAATTTATGAGGGTGTGGGGAAATATATCATTAGAGTAAGGATGTACCATATAAACTTATCAACCACTCCAGAATTTACAGCCATGTATAGGAAACTGCTATTAAAAGCAAGATTGAAGGCCTATCTAATCATATGTCTGCTTTTGAGTGAAATCACTACCAGTGCAGCAGTGACTGTGGCAACTTTACATGCCAGGCTGGCTACCCCAAGTGTGAGAGCTCAGACAGTGGAAAGCCAACAGCAGCACAAACTCCACCCCCCATCACCATGAGGGTGGTAATCAGGGGGAATCAGGTGGGTGAAGGATTCATTGGCTCCTCCAGACTCATCAAGGGTGCAAGTAAACTGAAACTTCAAATCAGACGGCTCTTTTAGCTCATCCCCACACCACTAAAATGAGTTGTTCCCAAAAGGTGATGTTCACCTTTCTACTCCTTAAAGCCAGGGAGTGGGTTGCAAGAAAAGAAATAAATGAGGTGATGAAGCAGCTCCCAAAACACAGGTACTGAAGAAGGGCTGAAGTCCAGCACAAGAACAGGAATAATATCCACTACTCCTTATATGGGGATATTTTTCCATGTAGATTTTTGGTACATTCAACTTTTTTTCCCATACTTTGGCATACATGTACAGTTCTAATTTAATGAAGCATTATATGAGAAATTGAATTATAATAATTCACATTAGCACTCCAGCCATTTTCACCAATGATTACTCTATGGAAAACAGTCTGTTAAGGCAAAAAGGACTTTAGTCATAAGGAATGATCCCAGAAGGACTTCAAAATGACCTTCAAGAGATTGAAGTAAAATAATTATATACTTATATATTATATATATATATATATACTTTTATATATATACTTATAAAATAATTCTATACTTATATATACATAAGTGTGTATATAAATATATATATATGTAGTACAGAATTATTTTACTTCTACTATATATATATAATTTATCCTATGGACTGTAGGCTCTGTGTGAATAGTCTCAAATGGACTGTAGATTAAAAAAAAAAAAAAAGATGCTGAATGCTATGTGAGTGTTTGAGTCCAAATTTCACATGACTCGAGAAACATTTATCCCAGGTATCCTCAATTCATTATCAATTAGGATTAAGTAGTCTCTATGTGCTTCACTAATCATCTTTTTAATGATTCAAAAGAAGAAACCAGGAACAAAAAAGAGATGTAAAACTAAATTTCAGGGAGTAAAGGAAATAGAATAGCTCTACATACACAAAAGATCCAGACATTATCATTGTAGCAGGATGGTAATGGAGCAAGATTAATCTTCAGTGGATAAAAATCCTGTGTTGGATTAACATCAATGCTGGGAAATTTCCAGTGCTGGGGACTAATAATTTCTAAACAGCTTTGTATAAACAGCCCTCACTGCAGGCACAACCCTGCAAAGAGAGAATTTGAGTTTTCTCAGCCAAATTATATGGGACACAATCTAGCTGTCCCTCCCAAAACTTTCTTTACACCTTATGGCAGCTTGAAACACTCTGAAGATCCCATGTCTCGTGGGCAGCCTAGTTTGCATTGTTCAGGGTAATCTTCCTACCCTGGAAACACCCAAAACTTGCTCCAAGGACAAGGCTATGAGCAGCATGAGCAGACTAGACCTATTCCAGCAAGGGCTTGGACATGATGCCTCCAGAGGTTCCTCCAACCCAGGTACTCTATTGTTCTGCTGCACTGTTTGACATCCACTGCTTGGGCAAGCAAAGAGCTCCTTGGAAAGGTCATTTTGCAGCAGTCTGCCAATATTTCATCATATCCATCACTTCAGACTCTCCTACTCAGTACTTTCCCAGCAGGCATCAGTGTGATTTCTGCTCAAAAAGATTCTCTGAGATCAGGTTGTGTTTGCTGTACAGTTGATGTCTGAGCCATGCCTTAGGTGTAGCTCATTCTTGACAGTACCAAAGGGTGAGATTCATTTCTCCTGTCTTCAGTCATCTTAAGGTCAAAGCCTAGACTATGGAGTGGAGTCAACAGAAGAAGACAAAAAAATCCAGCAGAGAATTTGTCCCATTTTAAGACAACAGGGCTAAACTGCCACCTGGAGGTGCCTGCTTCCTCCTCCGCTGGAGAGGCAGTGTTTCTGGACTGGGTTTCCAGGCACCTTGCATTACAGGAGATGAATGTCCACTCCTCAGGCAGACAAACATAAAAAAAAACACTGGATGTAAATGTGCCACATCTCTCTGTGACAAATGCCTGAAAGCTCAGCACTGAAACCTTTGGCATTTGACACCCATTGCTAAATAAGAGAATTCTCCTCTCCTTCAGGGCACCAAATATTGGACTTGCCACTAGAATGAGAATAGCAAGAGTCAAGCAGATCATCTCTGCGTGATGTGATTGCAACTCCCTTTATTATCTCCTTCATTGTGGACTGTTTTTGTTTTGCTTTGTTACTAGCCTCTGAGAATATATGCACTTTCTTTTCACCAAATGTGCATAAAGAGAAACATTGTGGAGCATCCAGTATTAATTGATTCCTAGAAGAGGAGCCTGAACTTTTCAGTTCCCAGCTGGACTTCTGTGAGCTATATTCCTTCTAGCAAGAAGGCAGTGGTGCTTGCAGAAGCAGACATTTGAAAGCAGGAGAGCACAATAGTACTGTATATACTGTTCTGTATATACAACTCTTTTCCTTCAGCCACCACACATGAGACTTCAGCATTAGTATTCCCATTTCACAGAAAGGACAGTAATGGTGAAGAATGGGGAGGGGAAGACAAGAGAACCACACACCCAAGTCTAACTCCAAAATCATCACTCAAAAGTGAGTTTGCTGCAAATTCTCCCTTGGCTCAGGCTGTGTTTAACTCTACTCCCTCCATGGCTGAGAATGAAAGGGTTTTTATCTGGGCTTAGAGATTCAAAGTAAAAACCATGGACAAATGTGTGTTAAGAAAGAGCAACAGGAAAATAAACAAGTAACTTATCTCAAGTGGTCCGTGCATCATCAAAAGAAGTGTTAAATTTCTTCTTCCAATATAGAATAACTGATTAAAACAAATGCAAACAGCGCACAATGCAATAAAAAACAAATGCTCCATTTTCCACTTCTTTTCTGCTACAGCTGTTTGTTTTAAACATATAAAGATTAAGGGAACAGTCTTGAATTTAATTAAATCCCAAAAGAACTAATGATATTTATGCATATTAAATTTTTAAAGGCACTTGTGGCTGTTCAGCCAATCACTCACTGGACTGTCATAACATGCCTTCCAACCTTAATTTAAATTAGAAAGAAGAGACTCATGGAAAAAAATGTGCAGACAGTAACCTTTTCTCTGCTTATATGTTTAAGAGATAAATGCCCATCTAGCTTTAAAAGGCAACAAATCTAATAAATGTCTACATCATCATAATTCAACAGTGGAAAAAAAAAACAAACTGATGTTACAAATTTTGGAGCCGCTTCTCTAAGGAAAGTAAATGAAAACACCAAATCTATTTTAGCGAATTTATAGACAGAACAGTGATGTCTTAACACAGAAACTCCCAGATTATTCCAGATGAAATCAGGGCTTTCCCAGAATTGTGATGCATAGAGGGTAATCTTTGGAGCACAGTGGGAAGACACAGCCTTTTCCCCTTCTCTATCCAGGCCATGCCTTCCTTTAGTCCTGTACTGTCAGTAAGACAACAGGTACATTTGGATCTGCGTCTCTGGCAAAGATCTCTCAGTAAGAAGAAAAAATGCTTTCTTTGCTCTTTTTGCAGTAAATCCATTGTGAACCTGAGTAAGCTTCTGGTCCAAAGCTAAAATCTGTGATTTTTTTCCCTTGTTACCAGGTTGGCTTTAAATGCAGGCTGCAAAGTGGTAAGCCCTTCTATTCTTCTGCTCTGCTTAGGTTTTTTTTTCCCTTGTGTATCCAGCATTTTGTTATCTCAGCTCATACAATCATCTTTCCCACCTCAAACAATGGACTCCTTCTCCCTTCATCTCCTGAACACTGATAGGTGTTTCCCATTCCATCTACCTCTCAGCATTGCCATATGCTATGAAACAAATAATCTTGAAAGCTCAATAAAGTATAGCTTCTTGCTAAATAAAAATCTCCAAGTATTGCTCCCTCTCTCACAAGTAATTTTGTTGACTTTCTCGAGGATTCAGACCCTGTTTAGAAAACCATTTATTTGGCTTTGTTTAAGCGTGTGTTTATGGTTTATGGCTTATCAATGAGAATAGGAAAAGACCCAGCCATTAAGTACTGACGTGCTCCTGTACGTCAGACTTTTCTACCTTACTTGCTAAGAAAACACTGTCTTTGCCTGGCACTTACCTATCAAATACTCCAGCCAGATCTGGTCTTTCTCTGGCTCATAGGGTCGGCTGAAGTCTATCTGGATTTGGAAAGGCTGTCCTCGACGCACTATCAGCTTAGGATTGTAGTACTTGTCGGTGTGGTGCTGCTGCTTGTTGATCTCGTTGGGTTCTTTGAACATATGAATATCCACAACACGCAGGTAATCTGCAGAGGCACATCAATGAACAGAAAGCAGTCACATTATCGACATCATCAGCATTAGAGGCCCTGTCCCCCCCTTCTCCAGTTTTGCTTCATCAAGAAATGCAATGAAGTGTGTTGAACCTGTTTGGGGTTAGCACCTTTCTGCCTGAGCAGGGTTTTATGGGCTGAAACTTCTGTGTCTACTTGCCGCTTTTGCAGAGGACATAAGGTTCCTCACAAATGGTGAAAGCAATGATACAAAAGGCAGGCTCTAATGGTGGAAAGCTGAATGCTGCCAGGAAGAGCTGTGCTCTCTCCTTCCTTTTGCATCAGCTTTCTGCAGGTCTGGGCACAATCAGTAGGTCTTTGACAGCTGTGGCTCCATGTAAAATGCATATTCACAGGGATTTTTTGATGCTTAAGTACATACGTTAATGTTTGTAAAGCATGACTGCTACCAAGTGCTACAGAGCCTGAGAGGCTTTAATGATCTTGCTTTCAGCAGAGAGCTTGAATGCCTGTATTAAATAAGGCTTTGGTGTATTGTACATGTCTAGACTCAGCTTCTCAGAACACCTCCACTGCTATTAGTATCTTTTATGAAAACTCAATATGACATTATAGTATGTAATTACAGTATAAAGTCATAGTCAAATAGCAGTGGGTATCTGTAACATGCACAAGCAAAGTAAATGCCTCTCTCCCTTCAAATCAGGGCTATCTAAAGGGTTATAGCTGTCAGAATTTGGCTTGCTCAGCTCATGACCAGCGTGTGGTGGCACTTGAATAGCCAAAGGCACTTGCAGTTACCACCAGCTATGTGACTACCATGCTGAGAAACTGCACAGTGGAAGCCTTCGCACACAACAGCTCCGTCCCTGTACACATTGAAGCTGTACCCAGCAGCTTCACAGCCAGTTCCTTCTAACAGTGAGCAATCATACAGAAGTGAACCAAATATCATTCTTTCTCCTTCATGCTTGGACAGATAATCATGAAAATTCTACCAGGAGGACCATTACTGCCACGAGGAGAGAGACAGAAGTAAAGCTTGATTTGCAGCTCTCAGCTTGCAGTTCCAGGTGCTGACAGAAACCAGCCAATTTCTGCATTTTATAGTGACAAATACGGAGCCAAACTCACGCCTGGCAGGAAGAGGAGCACACTTCCAGCAGCTGGCGGAGCTGTGTGTCCTCACATGGTGGCTCATTTGGCCTGCTGCTGAGTACACTGTGAGCACGAGTGATGCACTCAGCAAATGAGTCGGATAGTCAAGTCACTGGCAGCTAAACACAGCCCATTGCACAGAACCACAGAACATAGCTCTGCAGGCAGCTTTTTCCTGCAGGCAGGAAGCCACAGCAGGCAAGAAGGCTCTGGGAAAGGTAAAACTCCATGGCAATATTGTTGTAACTCTGTGCTCAATTCTCCAGGCTTCTGGAATAACTTGTGTAGATCCCCACTGGCCTTAGTGTTGGCTGGAGTTATAGAGATGGATCTTGTGAGAAACTTCAAATGCTTTTTGCTCAGAAATCATTTCTCAATGTGCCTCTATGAAATAGGGAGCGTTTTCACTTTCCTCCTTGCAAAATTTACCCACGCTCACTCACAAGAATGCTGACAAAGGTCATAATTAAATTATGCAAGGCAGAAATTTCCTGGAGGGCTGTAAAAAGAGAGCACGGGAGAGCCTCTGCTGTTTTCTCTCCCAATCTCTCTTAGGCTGGAAACATCCCATGTAAAAGCTGCACATCACAGCTCTGTGAGAGATCTAACCATCAGTAAGTTTGGCTCAGCTTCTCTCTGCTTCCAGGGAGGCATAAAAATTCTTTTGAACATTTGTTGTGTTTTCATCTCATGCTCTGAAACAAAAGGCAAAAGACCCTGCCCTTCCTTTGCAAGTTAACCCCTTCAAGGAACTACAAAGCTCAGCCACCCTAGGGTGTCAGTTCATCTTTTGCTTCACTTTTTTCCCAGGACTTTACAAGGCTCCTGTCAAAACACAATCATACACATCTGCACACAACACATTTTGCACTCAGTGTTAAAATGAACTCCTTTGAGCTCGTCAGATGAAGATGACCTGTGACTGAGCCTGTGCTAATTACAGTAATGGTAATTAGAGAGGACCAAAGTGAGCGGGGTAACAGGATACACAAACATCTTCACCAGGGTAGGGTGAAGTAATCAAAAGGAAAGGTCCAAGTGCTGCACACATTGCTGCTTGTCTGTTTGTGAGGGATGGGTGGACATCAGGGGTCTCCTTTGAAGTCAGTTCTATGTGATGGTTTGTCACAGCCTCATCCACTATTTAGTGCAGGTAGGTTTCCTGTGCAAGAGCTAGCAGACTCGCTTTCTTAAAGACTTTGTAATGTGGAAATTGAGGTGAGATGATAGGAAGAAGTTCTTTACTCAGAGGGCAGTGAGGCAGTGGCACAGCTGCCCAGAGAAGCTGTGGTACACTGTTCCTGAATGCTCAAGGCCAGGCTGGATGGGGCCCTGGGCAGCCTCAGCTGGTGGTGGCAGCCCTGCCCACAGCAAGAGGTTGGAACTGTGTGGCCTTTAAGGTCCCTTCTAACCCAAGCCATTCTACAAACCTATGATTCTACGTTAACCTTGGTTGGAAATAAATATATGAGCACAATCTTATGCTGCTTTTCAATACCAAAAATATCCAGCAATCATCAGGTTTTCTTGGAGGACAAGAAAGAAAGGATTCCGGGTTACAGACCAAGCAGTAGGAGTTTTTAAAGGAGGTGACGGTCTCTCTGCCAACAGGGGATGCACGATTCCCTGGCAGTCCCCACACTTAGCAAAGGAGGGCATGTGGGAAGCCTGCAGGCTGTGGAGCCCCAAGGCCGCGTCCTCCCACCGAGCCGTCTGCGTGCGTCAGGCCCACTTATAACTCAGTGTGGGGAGATGAGCTGGCTAGGAAGAGCCACGGGGAGGACACGACACAGGTATACAATAAGACACAGGCTTCTTGCCAAGTGAGCCTGCAGCAAGTAGCCTGCAGCAGGCAGCTGGCTGACCAGGCTGGGGAGGCAGCCGTCCCTGCGGTCTTCACCAATTTTAATGTGGCTGTGATTCAGTGCAGTTGAAGTGGGTGTCAGCAGAGAGCTCGTTCAGCACAGAGTTTACCTCATCCTAGAGTAGTAGCTAAAATAGGTCAAATGAATCACACCCTAAAAATGCCTATTTCTCTCCATTGGCTGTCAAGGGAAACGAGGGTGAGTAGCTCAGCTGTAGACACCTACACTGCACAGAACAAGGGCAGGATTCAGCTCAAGACAAAGTCCTTTAAATGTAGGCATCTAAACGTTGTGAGCCAGACATGTAATGTCTTATGGCCAGTGAGATCTGCTTGCTGCAGCCGGTGGAGCTGAGAAAGACATCCTGAAAGAGACGCTCACTGCCTGTTGGGAAGAACTCTATTCTCACCTCCTGCTGGGCTAGCTCTGTGTTGGTTAACATCTGACACAGATGAAGCCACCAACATTTAGATGTTTACAGCAAACGTCCCATCCTACCCCAGACAGTTAGAAAACACATAGTTGTACAAGCAGGGATGAAAGTATTGGCCTGCTTTTTTTCAGGGTGATGTGGAAGTGAAATATGCAAACCATTACAAAAGGCTTGGACAACCCAGAAGTATGGAAGTGTGAAGGAGAAGAGGAAGAAGGTGGTGCAAGAAGTCCATGGCAAAGATGTGTTCACCCTGCAGTACCCTGCTGCTTCTGCTCTGCCTGCAGGCTCTCACTTCAACCCCAGTGCTGCAATTGCTCTTGGTAGGCTCAGCTTCCAAACACGAGTGCCAATCTGAGTTGTGTGTGGAAAGCATTTGGCTATATTCTCTGACAGGTGATTTAAACATCCTACCCCAAAATAGTGTCCAGGGAACACATATACATCAACTGGTGTTACAGGCTTAAATCACAGCTGATGTGCACTGAGGCAGGAATGCTGCTACAGTCCCTTCCTTTTCCTCCACCTAGGTCGCCCTTGCATGTTATTGGTACAAGCACTGCAGAGCAGAACTGCATAGCAGAGCTGATCCAGCTGTACAATAAGAGTTTTGCTGTAATACTTAAATTTATTTTTTCAGCCATACCAGTCCCATAGTCAAGTTGATCCTATGGCTACACAAACTCCTGCTTTGGACAAGGGCTGTTTTCTCATCTGCAGCATCACCTTATGAGGCAGCCTTCTGCCTCAACTCATTTGACCTAACATTCCCGTTCCCATTACACTTCAGAAAACAGAGATGCTCTTGTCTACCAGCACCACATTCATTCAGAGCCTGATACTAAGCATTTTATAGAATCATAGAATGGCTTGGGTTGGAAGGGACCTCAAAGATCATTGAGCTCCAACTCCCCTGCTGCATGTAGGGCCACCAACCTCCATACCTAATACTAGACCAGGCTGCCCAGGACCCCATCCACCTCCAGGGATGGGAAACCCACAACCTCTCTGGGCAGCCTGTTCCAGCACCTCACCACTCTCTCTGTAAAGAACTTCCCCCTGACATCCAACCTAAATCTTCCCTCCCTCAACTTAAAACCATTTCCCCTTGTCCTGCTATTATCTACCCTTGTAAAGAGTTAGCTCCCCTCCTGTTTGTAGGTTCCCTTTAGGTACTGGAAGACTGCAATGAGGTCTCCCCACAGGCTGATAGGAATCTTCCTTCAGGAACTGATGCATTTTAGCTACAGACTGCATTCCTTCCAAGGTATCCTGCCCCCTTACATATCTCCAACTTCTGCAGGCGTACTGAATTTGAAAATATACATAGTCAGGACCTGTATTACATTACCTTTGACAATTTAAACACTAATACTTTTCCCGGAGCTACAGGGTTGTCTGAAAAAGTTAAAGCAAAATTCCTACCATCTTAACATTCCAGTTGGTTTGCTCAGGTGTTTTTTAAAGAAATGCTTTTTAAAGCAACATGTGTGTAATAAAAGGGGAGGACATGGGCAAAGCAGATGATTAAGATTACAGAAATAACAATTTCCAACAGGACTCTGAGCTTGTCACTGAATATCTCCTTGCTTGTTTTCTACTGTGTAAAATGAAGCAGTTAATGCTCGTCCACATTTATTAAGCACTCTTTCAACCCCAGATGAAGAGTTCCATACGAGTACTAAGTATTATCACATCTCATTCTTGTGAGCTGCTACATGCAGCAGGTTCTGTTGTTAATCTTAGGCAAAAAAAAAAATCAAACCATCATTGTCTTGGTGTCTCATTCAGGATCCAATTCCATTTTCCTCTAAATCTTGTCTGTACTTTTCAGATTCATTCCAAAAATAGTCATCCTGATTTTCCTAGCCCCAGAATTATATTTTGTCTCTCCAACCAAAACATTAAAACACTTTCCACAGGTGAATTATTGAGTTTCTCAGTCATTTTTATGAGTGAGTTGACCATCTAGTAAAAGCATTTTGCAGCAGATTCAGTCAGTTTAAGCCTGTATAAACCAGAAGAGCCAATAAAAGGGGAGACTTCTGCTCCCTTCACCCCATGACTGAAGCCAACAGGTGAGTCAGGCTGAAGTGAAACTAAAAAATACTAAATTAAACTTTCTGTTCTACTTCTATCCAAAAGCTGGTTTTTAACCCAGATCAGTGTCTTGCCCTGCTTCACCACCAGGTGCTTCAAGGATAGGGGCTGGTCCAGAGTTAGGAAAAAGCAACCAGAGACAGGATCATTTTTATTGAGGGCAATGACAAGTTTTGATGACTTTGGTTAGGAAACTGTATCTCTATATGTGTTCTCCCACTCCAGATGTTCAGTGACACCCCTCTGCCCTAGAAGTGGAGTTTTCAACCAGCCCAGCCCTAGAACAGTCAGCCACAAATTTAAAGACTCGAGGAAGTCCTCCTAAAGTTACTCTGTGATTGTAATCAAACTGGAAAAAAAATACTCTCGACTTTAAACCACTCTCTAAGGTTAGAAGCAAAACCAGATGTATGTCTTAAACTTTACACTGTACCTTTTGGATTAAATCCTCGAGGTATCAGACCAAAAGCATCCATTTCAGGGACATCATTTTCTTCAGCATTGGAGTTGTTTGATGGGAGGGCTCTTCTCCCATTCAGGGGAGGTTGTTTCTTCTCTCTGTTGGCACTCGCTGGTTCAGACATCCTGTATTAAAGACGTTGTAATACCATGTAAGAAAGAAAAAGTGCAAGGAAGAAGCACACATGAGCCAGCGTGGCACATATAAGATGGGAGAAACCGGAAACAGTGTGGGGTGCCAGCGAGCTACACATTTTTAGATTCACATAAATAAAAACTGAGAGGCAGAAAACATCAGTCTAATGATGGAGTACAGCTCTCTAAGGATTGTAAGCCATTTTGTGTTTGTCAAAACACATGAATAAGAGAAGAAGGGGGGTGGAAGGAGGAAAGGAAAGCTTAACACAGAAGTATTTGTCTAAGAGAAGCAGGGCATTAAAAACATTTGGGAATTTCTAGTAAAAAGGTGGAAAATTACCATCTTTCCCACCCTCTAAAACAATATTATTGCACCCTAAATAACAAATTATATTCCTAGGAAGTACATTGCATACCACCTCCTTCTAATAAAAACGACAGTCTAAGTTATATTGCAATCATCTCAAATACTACAGCCCACAACATTCTGCAGATGATTACTGAAATACTGTATTTTTTGTCTCTATGCACACAAACACCCGTTATCTAAAGGACTATTTCCTGCACACAGAGAACTCACTTTTGAGAAGGACAGAGAAAGAGAGATGGAAAAAAAGGAAGAAAAAAAGGCACTTATCCACTTATTTCTCTCCCACTAGCAACCTTAAGGGAAATCTCAGATGTAGGCTGATCAGAGACTTCTCTTTGAGCTAGTCAAAACTGCTTTCACATCTATTTCAGTGAAAGCACGTAGTAACGAAAGAGCCACACCATCCATCTAAGAAAATATTCATGGCTGAGAACACAGCTTCTTCCCAAAGCTCCTGAAAACATCAATTCAAAATACAGCAATTATTTTATAGTAGTAAGCTCTTAAAGGAAGTTTTCTAGTTAGCAAAGGTACCTTCTTTTCAGATAGTCTTTTTTTTTTTTAATTTTGTCTTCTCACTTGCAGATTTTCTGATGTGTAATAGAAGCCTGGAAAAAGTTGAGGGCTTTTAAGTAACTTCTGTATATCCTCCTCCCTCCTGTTGCAATAGGACAGTGCTGAAAGGGTTGCCAAGCCCTCCCCACACCATATCCAAGGATCTGCCACCACTGCTGGCACGTCTTTGCTTCCCCTCCCTCTCCCTGCCTACCTTCCCCCACCTCTCATCGGGAACCACTTATCAGGAGTATTTCAGAGTTCTTGGGCTAAGGAAACAACGTAAGCATTGAAGTTTTAGTCCTTAGTGATACAGAATAGAGCTTCTCATGGCACCAGAGCATAGAGAGTGGAAGACTGGAAGAGATTCTCTGAGTGACACAGACTAAGTTGTCAGTCTTAATAGTGTCTCTATTTCAGGATGCCTGCACTGCAACTTGAGGTGCTGATTTTCAGAGTACTCCAAGGTAGAAAACAGCAATGGTTTCTCTGCACGGTGCCTCACAGAAGTCCTTCTTAGGACTGTGGGGCACATGAGCATGGAAAGCTCATTGCTAGCTCAACAAACAAGATCTTTTCCATGAGAAACTGTGCAATTCAGGAGAGTTAAGGTGTTTTGCTCCAATCAGTTCTGTCTAGGGCAACTGACCTTCTGCTCTTACCCATGATAATTTGTGTATCATTAACAACCTGTGTCAGGAGCAGTACCTGATGAAAGCATTTTAGCTACAGACCAACTTTGTTCAGTTTCACTAAGCTCTAATATAACTGGGGACTGCCAGGATTGCTTGCTGAGGTTCAGCACCAGACTGCAGAGGTTTTGGAGCCAGCTTCACTATCTGCACATGAGCATTATGCTATGCTACCTCAGAGTCAAGGGGCCCAAAACTCTCCTTCATCTCCTGCAATAGACTGCTAGGCACATAGCACAGAAAGCCATCTGGCCAGGGCACTGCACTTCTTCTGTTGTGCTCTCCCAACTGTGCCGGCACCCCATCAGGAGAGATCTGGTCTTGCTGTTGTCCTGAACTGCAGTTTGCATGGGCTCACTTCTCTGCAGATGGTCCTTATGGTAACCATCTGTTGGGCAAGCAATGCCCCTGACACCCAGGAACACAATGAGCCTTCTGGGGGAGGAGGCTGGCTGCCAATTCTCCTTTTTTCCACTCTGATTTCTGGATGGTGTGTTTGTGCCTCTTCTTCTACTTCCAGCCAGAACTTCAGTTCCCAAAACTGCAGCTGCTGCGATGACGTTATAGAAACTGAAGTAAATATTGCCTCGGTGCCATGCCTGCTGGAGGCCTGCAACACAACTAAGAAACTCCATCTCCCGAGGCAGTTATGTGCTTCCCCAAGTGGCTGCAGTGCTGTCAGAGCCAGGAGGAAAACTTTCAGTCAGAGTGAGAACGGCAGTGAGTGGATGCAGCCAAATGATCCCAGCCCAGCCCTCATGCTTCAGAAGCCAGCAGTTGTAGATGTCCCTCCTTGTGCCCCTTCAGGTCTCTTCGGAGCATTTGGCAGAAGCTGACGATCACTGAGAAAGCACAGAGACAAAAATTTTTGGCAGCAGCTTTGCATCCAGGGAGAATAACGTTTCATAGGCTGTAATTTATTTATTTTGTGGGGAGTGATGTAAATTCATGCTTATGACAGCTCCAGATGCCAGGTATTTTCTCATTACCTTAATTTTTAGCATTTGCCCTTCCTTGCCTATTAGACTGCACTGGTCTTAATTTAGCATCTATGGTTTGAAACTAATGACGTCAGAGCTGATTCAGGAGGGGGCACAGAGAACATGAAGGCCTGTTTTTCCTGTAGGGCCTTATATTTAATGAATGGTGCTCTGGAATGACCGGTGAAAGAGCAATCTTTCTTCATGAAGCAACTCCTGCACTGCTAAAGGGCTGAATCCATGCTTGCTACTCAGAGACAGCCGTCAAATGCTTGTGGCTTTTGCCAAAGACCTTTGCAGTTATAGATGCTCTTCCCATTGATCGCAATGGACTTTGAATGATGAACAGTCCTTCCTTATGATCACCACAGAAAAGCTCTTAAATGTTTGGAAAGTTTGCACTGCGAAGGGTTATCCCAAATTCAGTTTCCTGTTATCATGAGAGTCAGCATTACTCCATCTTTCCATGCCAGACACAAGTTTAGGAGGAAAACCCCACAAAACATAAGGGTCGGTAAAGCTTTACAGACAGAGAGGAGAGCATGTGAAGATCTGTCATAAGCAAACTCCCCAGGCCATGTGCTCATGTAAATGGTTTGCTGTGCTGCGTGCCAGTGGCTGGATGGCAGGGATATTTTGCCTACCACTATTTTAGCTACACTGAGAACTCCTTGGTAGCAGCTGAGCATTGTAATGCTTTGCAAAACAGTGAATTCCTTTCTTACTTTTCTTCTTCTTCTTCTTTTGTTTTTTTTTCTTTTTTTTTTCTCCCTCAAATATTACCTTTGGGCCCATTTGCAGTCTAGATGTGAATTCAGATGCACTGAGACACTGTATTACATATACATGCATAACCATCCCTGGAAGGAAGTAATTCTTATTCCCATAAACCAGACACTTTGAACTCCAATCTTCTACATATAATACACCTTTACCTCTCTCTTATCTTCTTGGAGTTTCACTTGGGAACTTCCACTCTTTCTTAGATGACCAAGTCTGTCTTCCTCTTCCTTCCACATCAGTACTTGTCTTCCAGAAACCGGTATCTCTCTCCCTATAATGCCTTGCCTTACCAAGGTTGGAGGCAGAGTAGAGCAGATTCTAGCAGAAAATATGAACAAAAATGTTATTTTTAAACAGAAGCAAATATCAGAACTGTTCATTTGGTGGTTTTGTTTGCATATTTTGCTTTTGATTTTTTAAAAACCAAAACCAGCTAATTTATCTCTATGTGTTTAGCAGCTCTGGCTACCACTCACAGAGGAGTATATTTTGAACTAATGCTGAACATTCAGAAGGCCCAGCTCTGAAATACAGCATGTGTACAAGACAGTATGTGTGAAAGAGGGGCAGAGGCAGAGAGAGACAAAATGGCAGATCTTCAGATGGTGGAACATTTGGAGCAGGGGATATAAGGCCAGTTTTCAAAAGATATTGTTGCAAATGTTTCTGTTGTAGGGAAAAAAAAAAACCCAAAAAACATATATATGTGGTTATATATATACATATATATGGTTGTTTTATATATACATATATTCATACACACATTCTGCTAAGAAAATGTGGCTTAAGAAATTTAACTCTTCTCTGAAAAATACTGTTCCAAACCACAAGTTTAAATTCAATCTGTAGATCCATATAAGCATCTACGTCTGAGCTGGCCATCTTAGGCTTTCTTTATCCTCCACAGAGTTGCAGTCTAGGCAGTGATTCATCTCCTCCTACAGCACACATGTAAATAGGTCAGATGAATCATGGCCTAAAAGTGCCTGTTTCTTGTATTGACTGCAAAGGGAGCCTGAGGTGATGCATCCCACCGTATGCATCTATACAGCCAACATCTACAATGAGGTGAGAAGAAATGCAGCATAGAAATGGAAAAATAAAAGAATTTTATCTAGGTTTTGAAGCATAACTTTCAAGTGCTACATTATCCTTTATAGATGCCACTCAAAATCATTAACAGTGATACATAGTATACAGTTCAATACACTTTTTTTCTCTCTCTCAGATTACGTGGCTGCCACTGCCAATTATGTAAAATACATATCCAACAATAAGTATCAGATTACACTAAAGCACATGCCAGCTCATGAGTTAAAGGTTGGAAAAAAGGTTTATCTTTTTGTACTCATCTGTGAAGGTATCTCTCTTCCTGAGACATAAACATAACTGTACATGTAGTAACTACAACAAAAAAAGAATCACGTTGGCTGTTATGAGCATACAATCCAGGTTCCCACTCCTATTCCTACTGACATCTGAATTCAAAGCATTTCACTGTTTTTGTACCAGAGTTGCCTTAATTATCTCACAGAAAGATAGTCAAACTAGGCCAAACAGGTATTTCATAAGAGATGATCTTCATGGGCTCCAGCTTTGTTTAATGGCTTATGTTTCGCTAGAGCTAAGGCCCTAAATAATAAAGAAACATCTCTTAAAAATGGGGGTGGACTACTTCCTTGCTTTGGCCAGCTGACACTGAAGATGATAAAGACACAAAGGTTGCACCCCTTAGATCAATATTTCAGTCCCAAGTGAAAGGACAGGTTATCAAAGCAAAGCCATGAACTTCTGGAGGGAAAGCTACTTCATGGAAAGTGTTTCTCTGAAAAAAATTCACCATACGTATCATATGTATACGGCAAAGAGAAAGACTCTTCTAAAGCAAATCCCTCTGTATTACATCGTCTTATCAATGCCATTTACCTAAAGTGAAGCTCTTGACCTAAGGGCCAACTCTACTTGATCTGTCAGGCAACAAGACTGAGAAAAGAGATAGGAATTTGAAGAGTTGGACCAGAATTTCTCTCTTCTTTTTCTCTCAAGCCTCTGAACATCAAGGCAAGGACTGGGACAGTAAGTTCCTCCCACTACACTTAAAGACTGGATTTGAGATCACCTGATGAACCTGAACATAAGTCTCTGCGGCCTGATCAAATGCATCAGAGGTAACTGGATGATGTAGCCAAAAGCCATTCTTCATCATATTTGACATCATGGCAATTAGGTGAAATCCCCAGTGATGGGAGAATAGGAAATATCACTTCAGTTTTTTAAAAAGAAACTACAGAACAGTCAGCCTCACCTCTGTGCTCAGGAAAATCATGAAACAGTTCTTCGTGGAAGCTGTGTTGAGGTACATGGAAGACAGGAAGGTGATTCAAGACTATCAATATACCTTTACCAAGGGCAAATTATGCCTGGCAATTAGGTGGCTGCCTATCATGGTTACATCAGTAGACAAGGGAAGAGCAACCAATGCCATCTATGTGGACTTCTATAAAGCCTTTGACATAATCCCACACAAGAGTCTTTTCTCTAAATTGGAAAGAAATTAATTTGATGGATTGACTATTTAGTGGATAAGAAACTTGCTGGATGGCCACATCCAGAGAGTTGCAGTCAATGACACAGTGTCCAGATGGAGATCAGAGATGAATACTATCTCTCAGGGATCTGTATGGGGGCCAGTACTGTTCAGTATATTTATTAACACCTTGGGATTGGCTGCATTATCAGCAAGCTTGCAGAGGACACCAAGCTGAGTGGTGCAACTGATATAGAAGGAAGAAATGCCACCCAGAAGGATCTAGAGAGGTTGAAAGGTGGGCCCACATCAATCTCATAAAGTTCAACAAGTCCAAGTGCAAAGTGCTGCAGTTGGGTTAGGGCAGTTTCCAGTAAAAGTACCACCTGAAAGCATTAATGGATAGAGATCAGCCCTATGGAGAAGGACTTGGTGTTTTGGTAGATGAAATACTTGACATGAATCAGTACTGCATGCTTGCAGCCCAAAAGGCCAACTGTATCCCAGGCTGCCAGCAGGGGTGGCCAGCAGGGAGAGGGAGGTGATCGTCTCCCTCCACTCTGCCCTTGTGAAATCTCACCTGCAGTACTGCGTCAGGTCTGGGGCCCCCAGCAGGAAGGACAGGAATCTGTTGGAGTAGGTCCAGACACGGGCCACAAAAAACGATCAGAGGGCTGGAACATTTTTCCTGAGAAGACGGGCTGAGGGAGCTGGGCTTGTCCAGCCTGGAGAAGAGAAAGCTCCGGGGAGACATCATTGCAGTCTCTCAATACTTAAAGATGGCTGAAAAGAAAGATGAAGAGAGACTTTTTACAAGGGCCTGTTGTGATAGGACAAGAGGTAATGATTTTAAACTGGAAGAGAGTAGATTTAGAATAGAGATAAGAAAGACAATTTTTTACTATGAGGCTGGTGTGACACTGGAACATGTAGCCCAAAGAAGCTGTGACTGTCCCACCCCTTGAAGTGTTTGAGGTCAGGGTAGTCACAGGGCTTTGGGCAACTTGATCCAGTGAAAGGTGTCCCTGTCCATGGCAGGGCAGGGATGGTAGACTAAATGATCTTTAAAACTAAACCATTCTGTGATTCTATGATCCTTTCTACACACTTCCAGACCTGTTTGAATTTTTTCCAGCATGTCAGTCTTCCTACACCAAATGCTGATTTCACAACATTGAAACTTTATGCAAGAAAATCATTATTGAAAAAAAAAAAATAGTTTGTGAGAAATTACCATAACATAATTAGAGTTGATTTGGTTATTTTAACTTGTATGTTTACAGCCAGGGTGAAGTCTCCCAGGTATTAGATGTTAGGATGTCTACAGCAGGACTGGGGAGCAGAAGGAAGAGAACTTCAAAGTCCCCGTTAAAACAAGGTTGAGCTCAGTAACTGCAACTCAGTCTGTCCCTTACACTCATCTCCAGAGGGGATAACTTGTCACATACAGTCCCAGATGTAAATGGAGGTCATCTGTTTGTGCTGTGCCCATATTATCACGTCTTCTGGGCAGCGTGAAGTCACCTTGGATGCAATCAGGCCAGAACAGATAAACCAAGAGTAGACCAAAACATGCTACAATACAAACACATAAAATCTGTGCTCTGTGTCCCTGAGGGACTTGTACCCGACACCTGGTGCAAAACACTTGAGATGTCCCTACAGAGAGCTGGTGAGTCTGAAGAGATCTTCAATGGCTATCCTTGGGTTAGTGCTAGACTGTGTTAAAAGAAAACTGCACATCAGTTGAGAAACTAGCTCAGATCAGAGCTCTTCCTGCATCCAGGAGATGGGTTATTTACAACCCATGCAGCCCCAGCATGCTTAGTTGACAGTTGGTTCTCATTAATTTTGTACCATATGTGAACATGCAATATTTCAATGTTAATCTCACAGAGCATTTCAGTGTTACTGAAACACAATGTTTCAAGTATGCTCAATTACAAGATGTTTAGAATTAAAGATTTCTTCAATCTCATTTCAGGGTAAAACTTCCTGTTCCAGTTCAGAACAAAAATAAATTTTAAAATGTCCAAAGTCTTGTAGAACAGCTTCTCCTGTTAATACAAACACAGATGTAGCACGTAGATTCATAACAACAAAAACCTGAAGCACGTTCAAGTATATAATTCCATCTTTAGGCATGTACCTAAATCCTGTGATGTGCTCAGCTCAACAAAATCAACATTATACAATAACTGTGTGTACAAAAACTCTTAAGCTGCCTGTTGCTGTTGCATTTCCACCACTTTAGCAATTCTCTAGCGGAACAGTTTCTTGATTCATTTCAAATATGTTTGCCAAATAGGGTTGTTGATCCATCTTTCAGTCCCAAGACTGACCAGATCTTTGTGCAAATGAGCCAAATAACTGCTTAAATAAGGAAGTGTACGATGTTTTGAGAAGTAAGTTCAAATGTAGATTGTAAAACATCACAACTGGTTGGTTTGTTAATGGCAGATGTTCTGGGGGGAGAAAGGAAATTGAAAGAATGAATCATTATTCAGATGAATTTCAAAAGCAATTTAAAAGTCATTTCATAATCACAGATGTGTGCCAAATATACCCATCCAGCACAAGCTGTAGGCTTTGATTTTTGTGAAGTCTGCAGGTTTTTTCCTTTGCTATTCCCACTGTAACCTTTTGCAGTGTGGTTTGAAAAAGGAGAACGTAAAAAAAAATTAATGCCTTCCAAACTCTCCACATACCTGTCTCTAAAGTATTGTGCTGCATCCACAAAAATACTGTCAACATACACAGTGGAATACAAATAACTTTTTTCTTTGTGCTC